GCGGAGTCCGAGTGCAGCCGCTGCCGACGACGCATCCGGCGCCCACGCCTCGCGACGCCTAGCCACGCCTAGGGACGCCTAGCGCGGACGGGCTGCTACCGCTCTGCCGGTGCAGGGGTTCGCTGGCTGTCGGCATCTGCCGTAGAGCCAGCTTCGGGTTCTGCTACCGCACCGCCGGTGCAGGCGTTGCTGCTCGAGTAAGGCAATCACTTGCTGCTTGCAACATCTGCCATCCGCATCGAAGCTAGTCAGCGTGGGATTCTGCTACCGCTCTGCCGGTGCAGGCGTTGCTGGACGAGTAAGCACTCATCTGCTGCTCTCAGTATCTACCGTCCGCATCGAAGTGGATGCCGGCGTAAAGCTGCGGTGAGCGTGGTGGTTGTTATACAACGCCGTTGGTGAGACAAAACTCTCAACTGCCTCGTTGTTGAATACCTCGGATGTCACTAGGCGAGTATGCCGGTTGTCTTCAATCAGCGACGTGCAAGATAGCTCAAATTTCCGCTTGTGCCCTAAACGACTTCTGGTCTCATCCGGCGGGAAGCAGCCACGAACAAAAGATCAGAACTCAAGCGTGAGACCTGTCTGAATCATTCTGCGGAAGATTCTATCTTCGGAGATTCTTCCCCTGACACTGCCGTTTGGGAGCTTCGATTCTACCGACGCATCAGAGGCATTGGAGTTCTTTGGCTAGCCCGGCGCCACGACGTGTTTGTGCTTCCGCCGGCGCCGAATCTGCTGTTGTTCCTCTCGGACGTGTTGTTGCGCCGGGGCACCGGACCTGTTCTTTGGAGCGTTGTCACTTTCTCCCAACTGACCCGGTGCTTCGACTTGAGTTCCGATCTCAGGGTCCGAAATTCCCCGGACTTGGAGAAGTCGCGTTTGGCCAACTACTCCACTTGGATAGTGGGTTTGATAATTTTGAACTGTCAAAGAGTGAGAGTGAGTCGTCGGTATGGCGCTAGCAAGAAGATTACTCGCTTTGGGCGAGTTGGAACTGAATGAGACGGGCGATACTTTGAACAGAAATGTGTACTACGTTGTAGAAGGTAAGTGATTAATATCTACGAATAGTGATATATCTGCTAATTATTCGACAATTTATAAAGTTCTGTCGTGACAGTTTGCCGTGTTATATTGGTGTGTATAGGACTATTGTACTAAGATTAATGTGCTCTTTTCAAAGTATTATACTTGTGTAGACATCATTTCATTATTTTCTGATATCAATTTTTATTGAAAAACGTCAGTAATTAGTAAAAGCTTTGAATAACAAATCAAAGAGTTGTGTTTTTCAAAGGTTTTGTTTTCTTCGTATTTTGTCATTTCATATACGTCGAGTTGTAAATACATATGTGGTAGTTTAGTTTCATTTTCAGCACGCTTTTGTTTCCAATGCTTATTTTTCGGGTTAATAATGAAAGTACTAACAAAACGTAAAACGATATTTAAATATTTACAAACTTGTTATATGACGTAAATGTTGTTTCAACAAAAAAATTAGTTTCGTGGCAGAAAACTATTTGTTTGTGACGTAAATATTGAAACACGTTTATAGCAACGAGGCCTCGTAGAGTGGTAGGTCACACTTCTCACTTCCGGATATCCAATAAGCTCGCTTTGGAATTCCTTTTTCGTAACGTTGATCCAAGGTGAAAGTTTGAAGGCCGAATCATTAGACATGTATGGTTGAAATGTTTTGATCTTATGGTACAAATGTCGGAGTATTTCCGGGCCAATAGCTTATTTGTTATTAATGAAATTTAGAACTTATCTCCTACCCTTTCTTTTAAATTCGCCAGAATAATATTATTCACATAACTCGTACTTTGTTTATTCTGATTTTCGGGGTAAATCATTTGATTTGATTTGATTTATATAATAAAAATTGGAAGAAACTGAAGTTATTTACCTGTACATAATCATAGATATTTTTATTGCGTTCAGATTTCTGTCTTCTCACGTTTATTTACTAAAGTTAGAGCATTTAAAAAGGGCCCTTCTTTCGACTGAATAATTACTGCAGTCGGCACTACTCAAAATATTCGGGATCCATTAATTTGCGCACTGTACAAGTTCTGTTATTGGAGGCCACGTTATATTCACGAGATGTTCAGAATCTCATTGTCCCTGATTCCATTACTTAATAGCTAGGAGCACATCAAAATGTTATCTTCGCTTTCTGAAGCCATTTCGCTTTTATATCAACGAATATTTATTTTTAACTTATTATGCGTAGTAGAAGCCCTAAAAAATATGTTAATATTCTTCTTGGTGTTGTTTCATTTTCTAAAATAACACTAGCTTTGGAAAAAAAGGAATTAATGGTTATGATTAGATCAATATTTGGGGGTAGACATTGTAATGGCTTCGTATTTATTAAAAATCTAAGCCATAAAAACATTCGACTTTGAATTCTTATCGAAGACAAACGTGTTTGACTATAATTTATGAGTCCTTCCTTCCTGAATCAAATTTGGTTTGTTAATCAGTACGTACATTAAGATACGGAGCATGCTGTGTTTTGAGGTTCCAAAAAGTAGGACCAAGGCCGGGAATAAGAGTGAAGGTCTCAATTTCTGAGAAACCGGCTGCTCAAAGTGGCCTCTCAGGGTTCCCAAAATTACAAAAAAATTTAAATTTGTTCTAATTTAAAATTTTTTAATCTCGCGTTTAATAATAATAATAATAATAATAATAATAATAATAATAATAATGAACATCTTATGAAACTTATTTGTCGTGCTGAAAACTCTGATTTGGGTATTCCTTCTGAATTCCTTCCTTCTTCAACAATTAATTATAGGCTTATTTGATTCGGTCCGCTAAATGGTACCTTACACTTACAAATAAAAATATGCCTACTGAGGAAATGTAATTACGTTCAGTATGAAGGTGAATTCTGAGGTGGCGTACTTTGAATTTCTTCCATCGTGCAGGGCAGCTTTAGTGGCCTTATTCGCTTCGACACGAGATCAAACAAAAATTTTAGATAGCTACTTCCACAGATTTGTGTTCTTCTAGAAGGCCCTAAGATATTTAAGTCATGAACGCATTACTCGTATTTATGAAATGCAATCAAAAATTTTTAACGGAGGAAACAATCGAATTGTGTAACATTATTTAGTTCATGAAGTTTAAGCAATTAGTTTCCTTTTGAACTCGTCGATGTACTAACAGTCTCGTTTTACATTCAATTTACTTCAAACGAAGCTGAAATTGAGTCTTATAGTAGGAATATTGTTTTTATTCTGTCTACAGGCATCAGCATTGCATTGGTTCCCTTGATGTTATGGTTAAAAAATTTCAGTTAATATTAATGATGTAAAGTTTTCTTGTTAATTTGAAAATTATTCGCCAAGTTCTAGATTTACAGTTTTGAAAACAATAATTGGTGCTTTGAGATCTTGCGCTAAAATAAGTAAAGTTTTCTCTAAATACGTGAGAGAAATTTCAAAATTTGTATTGTAAATTTTACTAGTAATCCTCCCCCATACGTACCAAATTATTAATTTAAGTCCGTTAGTATTTATTTATTTATTTCACTTCAAAACAGTTCAAACCTGTGCGTGATATATTATGGGGAAAAGTATATTCTGTGAAGTATTTCTTGTGTTCTGGAATTCCTACCCGAACTCAAATAAAATTTGAATTATGCCAGGTGGAACGAGCATTGATTCGAGTCACGAATTTTGATGTACTCTCAAAACTCATGAGCGACTGTGTGGTGATGTAACTTGATTCATTGTCTAGATTTATTGCTGAGAACTCACTTACTGGTGTTTTCCATCTTTAATTACATCAAACTGTCACACGCCGGTACGGAATTCAGATATGGTCTAAGAAAGTTATTAATTTTTTTAATTTATTTTTCTCGTTCGAACTCAAAGGTCTTTCGAGGGTTTCGGTTTTACATCACTGAAACATTTTGGGATTTGGCATTCCTGACAAATTTGAGATTAGATTACTCTGACTCGTTTACTTCGTTGGTTTGCCTTTGTAGAAGCAGCTGGGATTTATTTTTGATTTTTTTTTGGAGAGGGGGGGTAAGTTGTTAGGAATTGCCCTATCGAGCAATGGCAAGAGAACGTGAAAGATTCTATTTAGATACGGGATGATATTATTGGTTTAGGGAGGTTTAATTGGGAAATTTGGATTTGATTCGGCTTGGGATGTTTGCTGTTTGACCTAGGTGAAATTTCAGAGCGGAATGAGATGAGGGAACAGGAAGTTATGATTCATTCTTAAGTTAGCAACAGCACCCGTAGACGTTACATGGTCAGTTCATGTTCATGTTTTTTGAGAGAAGCAAATGATAAACAAACAAATGGTGTTTACCATCTCAAAAATACCGTAAATAAATATTATCAAGGTCATTCACAGGCAATTTCCATAATGACTTTCGTTAATTTCTTCAGTCTTGCTTATTTCCATGTCAACTTTTTCAGTGTAGATCTCTGCATCGTAGAAAAATTCACAGCAAAATTCAAAAACAATATTTTGAGTATGCTACTCATTGCAATACGAGTGACAGTATTGAATTACTACAATAGGGAAGAGGTTTGTCTACGACCGCCTTCTGAAAACAACTCAAGGTGATGCAAATGAATAGCGTAATCTTATATTACCTGATAATGTAAATAAATATTAGCATATTTATTGAATGTTGTCATGGAAACGTTTCCAAATTTCTCAACCGCGTTTTGCGATTTGTTAAGCATCAGGTTGACCCGTCCCAAATGAAAATTCGAGATGCAGCGCAGACCACAATAGTTCTCTAAACAATTAAATTGCTTTAAAAAAAAATCTCTGAAAACCTATTAATTTTCTTAGTACTGTAATTCAAATATGTTAGACGTGCAAAAATCGTAATAATTAATATTCATACAAAAGAATAGACAACTTAATTATGATTTAGTTCATGATGGAGAATGGCTCTCGGTTGATTGTGACCCAACAGGTTAATTTTCACGATTAATATAGACTGCAGTGCGTTATTGTATTCTTTACTTCAATGAAAATGAAATTGAAGTTTCAATAAAATATTTAGTGTACGTTACTCAAAAGATGTTTATTGTTTTACGACAGTGTAACTATTATTGTTTACATCTTCCCACCACCTTCTGTAATCTGCCATTCAATGCATTTCTCTACATGAAGTCGATAACTACAGCACTTTGTTCGAGTGAAACATGGCCTCGAGTTGGTAACGTGAAGCACGGATTTATTCAATCAGAATGGTTCGAAATTCAAAGTCGAATCGTCATCAAAGTTCGACTGTTATAATAATGATATCAAATATTCCTATTTATTATTATTAATATTATTATTATTATTATTATTATTATTATTATTATTATTATTATTATTGTATCTGGATGGCATGGGGGTAACGATGGGAGTACATACACTTCTATTAGGAGGGATGAGGAGAACGTAAAAGAACCGAGATTTCCAACAAGGCTATCGATATACAAATTATTATTATTGTTATTATTATTGTTGTTGTTGATATTATTGGAACGTTACAATGTAAAAAGTACGTATTTCACATGCAATTAAGTTACATATTTCAATTTTTTAAAATAATTGGTTTGTGTATTATAAGAATTGTTAGATCATTCCTAGGTTGCAGAGCCGGGTCGTTACTGACATGATCTTTTATATTCATTCATTTTCATTATCCAATGCACTACTACGCATCCCGGATAGTTAAATTCGCAAATAATTATTTGTATTAATTATAATGTGGTTGTTGACGTTGCCTGGTTGCGCGCAGATGAGGCGGTGAGCAGCTGGACGCCCACCATGCTGGTGCTGTGCTACGTGCTGGGCGGCCTGCTCATCACGCTGCTCGCGCTCTACGTCACGCTCGAGCTGCACTACTTCCTGCGCATGTGCCTGTGCGTGCTCATGGCGCGCTTCTGCAAGCCCCGCATCAGCATCCTCGACGACACATACGTGCACGGTGAGTGGCCAGCGCGGTTCGACGCGCCCGAGTCCGACCCTGAGCCCGCGCCCGCCCACGTCCACGCCCATACGTCGCTCAGTCCCATGCCCGCGCGCCCACAATCTCGCCCACGCCCGCGCACCACGCCCACAGCCGCGCCAACAGCCCCACGCCCGCGCACCACGCCCACGCACGCGCACCAAAAACACAACATACGCCCATAAGCGTTACTGCAATCCCATGCCCAGCAGCTCACGCTCAGCCCACACGCCCACGCCCCACGCGCCACGCCCACACGCCCACGACCCACACGCCCACCCACACGCCCACGTCCACACGCCACTGCCACACGCCACGCCACGCCCACGCCTCACACCGCCACGCCTCACACGCCACGCCCAACGCCCACGCCCACAGACGCCCAACGCCCACGGCCCTACGCCACGCCCACGCCCAACGCCACTCCACGCCCAGCCACGCCCACAGCCACCACCACCGCCACACGCCCACGACCCACCACGCCACGCCCACACCCACACGCCACGCCCCACGCCACACGCCACGCCACACGCCCACCCACACGCCACACGTCCACGCGCCCACGCCCCACGCCCACGCCCAACGCCACGCCCACGCCCACGCCACGCCCACACCCCACACGCCACACGCCCACGCCCACACGTCCACGCCCACACGTCCACGTCCACGTTCACGCCCAAGCGCCCACGCCTATGCCCTTACGTCACTCAGTCCCACGCTCACGTACCCGCAATCTCGCCCACGCCCACCCACGCCCGGGCACCCACCACATCGCTTAGTCCCATGACGGGGCACCCACGACCTCGCCCACGCCCACGCCCACGCCCACCACATCGCTCAGTCCCACGCCCGCGCGCCCACGACCTCGCCAACACCCACACCCACACCCACGCAGCGCATTCTCAGGGGGGATGCCACATCGATGTCGATGTTGCGAAACATCAAATTTGTACAGAAACATAGATGTTCTAAACATCGATGGATTAGTGGCTCCGGGCATGTCATCTGCTAATGTCTGTAGCCCAGTAAGTGAAGTGCATTTTTTCTCGGGGGTGGCTGTGATCTTTCCCCGCCAGAAGAAAAGATCCGGAGCCGACTTACAGTCATCTAGCGGGATTTTCGCTAATCGGGTATATCCCACCAGCGGGGCACCGCCCCACAAGCTCTAAGTTCCCGACCAGTCTCTCGGCATGTGTGGCAGTGTAGTGCAAGTTAGTGGAAGTGTACGTCTGGGACGAGGATAGAAGTGAGAGGAAGGAAAGATCGCGCGGGATCCGTGGCCCCTTTGTTTGGGTACTGCTCCGGCATTCGTATGGTGTTCATCGGAGAAACCACGTAAAACTACCGATCAGAGGTGTCGGCCGCTACAATTCTCCTCCATATAGTGATATAGCTGACAAGCAATAGGCGAAAATCCTGCCAACGTCGGGACTTGAACTCCTGGACCTCCCGGTCAGAGGCACTACAGTGATATCACTTGATGCCCTGAGATACCTCTCCCCGAGATATTTTTACAGACACACCAATGTTTTAAGTATCGATATATTAAAGCCGAGGGTTTTCTAACACTGAAAGTTTGTGCTCATGTTTTTGTCTTCATTCTTTTATTTGTGCATAAAACATTCCCATGATTATAAGCTAAAGTTCAACGTTTCGAAATCCTCTCTAAAATATCGATGAAGAATAATTAATATCGATGTTTTCAGAATGTGATCATAACGTCTTAATCAAGAAAACCGAGAAACGCCTTAGTACAAGGGTTTGGAAATATAAATCAGCTGAATGTGGATCGTGAAAAGAAAGTTTATACCGATAGTTCAGAATAATAATAATAATAATAATAATAATAATAATAATAATATCAAAATTATTGTTAGACGAAATGTTATATTATTCCTATTATGTAAATACTTCCTTTAATTCCATTACATTTAGAGTTGATATTTGTTCTTCATTCATTCGGGAAGTATAGGGAAGATCTTTCAATGTGTAACTTGACAATATGTCCGCGTTGCAAGGTGAGCTGCAGTGTATAAATTTCGTCATTAAGTTGTATCGTACTCCATGAATGTCAATATCAACATTGTATAACGCAATATACAGTGCTTTCCTGAACTGTTAGATTAAACTCTCCTTGGAGGTACTTTTCTTAGGCCAAAATAAATTTTTAGAAGATCATTTAAAAAATTGTGAATTAAAAAAAACGAATTCTAAGAACCTTTTTGCATAATAATCTCAACATCAAGTAAGTTACCTTCACAACCTACTCATCAGCGTGGGATGTTTTTGTGTAGTGAGTTGAAGAGAATTTTTTTCCAATTAACTCTTCCTTTGTAACTTGTGCTTGACAATGTGACATCCGTTTTCACATAATTCAAAAAAAACTTGCTAACTGGAGTTGGATTTACGCAATCATAACAAACTTAAGCAATCCACTCTTTGAGGTGCTAATCATATTACAAGTACACAATCATTACACACTTTTATAGTCAACGTTATTTTTAAATTCACAACAACATTCCTTAGCATTTCTGCAAGGTGTGGAAAGTGGGTTCTCAAAGAGTCCGTTCTCGTTGGACAGGTTTTAGTCTCGCCGGGACCGAACATTCGCGAAGAAACTGCACAGTAATAAAACATACCCTGCTTCCCAGTGCATCGTTGAAGGTCTTGTCGAAGACCGGTTTTAGCTTGCTGTTTTCATCCTGGCCCGCAGCTACCAGGAACCTATGCGCGAGCGCAGAGGGTGCCCACTGGGGTCTGGGGTCATTGTTTAAGGGATATTATGAATTGTCGGCTTCCAGTTGTTCATGATACATGAAAATTTATTCAATCTACTTTAATTAAGTTATATTTTCAGGAATTATATTAATGTTTTTTGTTTCCTATTTCTAAATATGTAAATTACTATCATTGACGCATTTGTTCGCAAATACTTGTTTATCATATTCTGCGTAATATTTGCAAATTTAATTATTTCAAAAGTATTAACTACTTCAGTTCAGTATTATATATTTAATATTATAGTAAATATTATATTAAATATTTTATTATATAATATACAAAATGTTATGTGTATATATTTTTATATGTAATATAGACAGACATCGAATAGAACATTTCTAATTCTTAGCACACTTTCTATGAGCCAAGGTCTACAATATTACTTGATAAGTACGAAAAATATTCTAATGAAATATTTTACGTTTTCAAATTCAATCTATTTGAGTTAAAGATACGTTCCACGATTGAGAAGTCATTTACAAAAACATAGCAACCACTTAAATCGAAGATAACCGCAATGATAATAAAATTAATGATGACGAGAAGATTATCTGATCGACGTAAATTCACCACTGCATTGCTTCTCAGATCTTGGGAAGTTTTGGTCGCCAAATGCAAACTATCTGACTTGTCCAGCGTGCTTGGCTATCTATTTTGTCACTTCATTCGGACGTTTCCAAGTACTTAAACGCTCGTGAGTCACGAATCACGACGAAAAATGGCTCATCTTGCTTTTCGCATTAAGCGATGGTGGAAATCCAAACGCTTTGGGGAAGAAGCTGTATACAACTTGGTTTTACCAACAGACCGGTTTCGACCGTTACAGAAGAGTACATGATTTCGTATGATTGGAAAAATAAGAGTAATAAAAGTTGCTCATAGTCCGTTCGATGGGAAGGAAATAGCTACAGAAACATAGTAAATTTTAGTTCATTTTAATGTTCTTAGTCTTGCAAAATTTGCATTTATAAGACATTTAGGTATAAGTACTGGATTAATGCCTTTTGTTGGTTTATTGTACGACTGAAATCATCTCACCATTAGGGATTACGAGCGCCTTCTCCCAGAAGCCCTTTTAAGAATGTTACGTAACCATTCCCATTGAGACTTCTTACACTCAGGTAATCAACATAGTTGGAGTTTACCACGAGGATTCCAAAGAGATGAATAGTGGGAAAAGAAATAATAATGTAGTATGGCTGGCTGAATCTCCATTGTCGAGTGTCGCTTATTAAAGGATCTGTACATGGAAAAAAATCAGATTAAGCAAATTATTCGCCTATATCGACGTGTCGTTCACGGTAGCCCTTGAGGAAACAGAAGCCAAACACAATGTGAAGGAAACCATTTTACATCAGTTGTTAAAACTTGAGGAAACTAAATCAAGGCGAGGTGATCCAGAGGTTTACAATTTTTTTAGTATAGTGTGCTCTCCTTAAGGCAAGAGAAGATTAAATATGAGACTCACGAACATTTTTACCAGTTCGAAAAAATAACATCGAAAATCATGGCTAGGGATTTTTTTCCCTTGACACTTACTTATCTGTTCCTTTTCGTCTTTTTCTTATATGTTAACTAATATTCTGATGATTGTTATATATTTAACATAATATTACTGGTATTTGAAGCACTGGCTTAGCTACATGTGGTGTTGCTTGAGGGTGGGGGTGGAACTGACACTGGCACCACACATTTGACATACCTTCCTCTTCTTGATTTAGTAAGTAAAATAGAGATATTTTTATTTTTAATAAATATTTATTAAAAGGATATTAATAAAAATAAAGCATAAAACAATAACTGGTTTTCAGAAAAAATCCACAATGGGAAGTTATTCTATTGGTCACACGTTAGACTCTTTTTTGATTGTTTGAAAAATGAATAAATAACGCAAATTTAATCTACAGCGTATCATTTTCAAAATGAATAGGTAACGGATATATGGCAGTTGTAAGTTAAACTAAGAAGTTGAACACAGTGTCAGAAGGTTTATGGTATCTGGTATACTAGTAGTTTTCTGGGAACAAAAGACTTCGACCTCGCGTACAATATCCCTACACATAAGTGGCTTTTAATGACTTGAAGGGAACGTTAGAGTCAAATTCGAAGAAATCGTACGGCGGTTTTGTTCATGTCTGCGTAACAAACACATTTCCAGGCTCATGGAATGGCCTGGGCTATTTCCAACCCGCATGATC